AGCAGGAGAACATGCCAAAACATTGCGACATTGTCACCTACTGTAGATAAGCAATTTAGCCAGTGCAGTATGACTGCTAGCCTAGGGTCCTTAACGTGCACCACGCAGTAGTGATACACGACCGCATGCCGGTACGTTCCTCATCAACATCGAAAAGGGCAGGGGTGGGGGTGAATCCACGATCCTGGGTTCTGCAGCGCGAGCTTTCGCTCCGCGTGCACCCTATTTTGAAACAAAAAAATATATTGTGGCTGTGTGGCGGTGGGGGGGGAGAAAGACGAGAAAGGAATTACACAGTTGTTAGTCTGCGCCATTCCTGTATGTTGTTTTTCGTCTATACTCTGCTTTAGTTTATATTTTTATCAAGAGCGTTTTTCTTGCATCTACGTGGCGCAGCAAACCGTCACAATGTCTAGTCAACTAGCCTATATCCAAGCAATGTTTGTATAATTAGCATCCCTGCTGTTACCTATTCTTATTTGTCATTTACGATTTAAATAAAAAAACTCGGGCTGTATGTATGTTGATACTGCCTAAAACTTGGTCTGCCTCAACGGGGAAGATTCTCCCAGCTGTAGATGAGAAATTTAGCCATGCAGTGCCGTACATACGCTAGCCTGGGGTCTTCAACGTCCATCCCGCAGTAGTGTTACACGACTGCACGCCGGTACGATGCTCATCAACATCGAAACGGGCAGGGGTGGGGATTGAACCCAGCATCCTGGGTTCTGCAACGGACCTTTCGCTCGACGTGCTCCGAGCTGGTGTGCGCTAGCCCAGCCGGCCACCGATCCCCCGATTTAAATAAAATAGAAACCCTTCACTGTGGAGCGTAGGGAAAAATCAGAGCTACGCTGGGGAACTCGCCGCCACCGGGGGGGTCGGAAATGTAAGAGGGGGAGTGGGAAACTCGCCGGGGCGGAGTCAAAAGAAGCTCCTCCCCTCCCTCGTGACGTGGCATCGGAGAGATTCCCGCCGGAGGGGAGCTTAGCCCCCCAGTGGTCGTGAACTCTAGATATGTGGCACGACTAAATTGAGCCATTTTAGCGTTGCTAGAGTGAAAAGGTATAACTTTCGGAGACTCAAAACTTGGCATGGCGCATCCGAGGTTTTCGTCATGTCCATATTCAGCGGTAGGAAATACGAACGAGCGCTCCAAACCAGGGCCGACTTGATAGAAACAGCGTCTCAGCTGAGACTGGGAGAAAGAAAACACTGCCAAAGCTGCAGCACACGAGCTGAGCGGGTCTCAATCTGCGTCCCGAGACGCTCGCGCGCTCCAGCCTTTACCCTGTTTCCTTTCAGCCAGTTTCAGCTAAGACGCTCTTCTACCAAGCCGGTCCAGAGCAAACTGTCACCGAGACGCCGAGATTGAACGCTTCTGTTTCACGCACATTAAATGTCGTTTTCAATATTGTGACGTCGCGGTCTGCTGATTGGTCGACGCTGTGTCGCCCTTTTAGTTTACGCTCTAATGGCGGGAGGAGTATCCGGCGCTGGCGGAGAGTTTGACCCAGTGGTCAAACTCTCCGAATATACGGCTCTGGAACGCACCAATAAACGGCTCTGGAACGCACTGGCACGCGGCGCCATCTATGCACTGAAACTGCATTTCTCAAGGGTCAAGATTTTGCCGTATTTGCGAGGTCAAATGTATACGAGCTACCTATAAAAACTTTTCATTTATAACATTTTGGAAAGCTTCCTTTTTATTCAAATAAAAGAAAAAAGAAAAACAGAATGACGCTCTAAAAAAGAATGAAATATGCGGAAACTGCAAGTGTTCCACGCCTACCCGATAGATGGCGCCAGTGTGTTCTCTCGTCGGAAGAGGGTTCAAGGTACACAGAAGGAATCGTAAATGTGTGGATGAGCCTTAAATAAGGAACGGTATGCGGTCGGGCTGGCTAGTGCGAATACTTCCGTGAGTATTAAAATAATAGTTTATATGTACTATGGAAGTATGGTGGGAGCTGAGAATAGAAAGCTGTCGCAGCTGCTTGACTAGTCGTCAGCCCCGCCCCTCAAGTACCGGGCAGGACTAACAAAAGTTAAATGAAAAAAACAAACAAACATAAGAAATTATACGATGCTTTCATAACAAAAGAAAAAAATGGATAACGTGACGTTTATCTACACTAAGATCAAGTGATTAAAAAGGTGAAAAAAAAAAGAAAACAGAATTTAAAATAAAATAATTTTAGCATATTTTAGTAGCATACACAAAGAAACAAGAGAATTAACTTTTTATGCTTTGGTACACTACGCGAACTTCAGTGTACCTGCAAGTGTATATGTCAATATTAACAAGGTGATAGCTATTTAATAGAGATGGCAATGAATAACAGACGCAGTGTTTTCCGGGGTTTAGTCGAGTTGTACGTACTGTCCAGTTCTCTTTATGTCTTGTAGAATAACTAATGCTTTTTTATGTGCAATTGGGCAAGGTTACGTATACTATATATTCTTTTGAGTTTCTGATTTCTAGCGGACATTCAAACGATATCTATATAGGTTTTAGGCTCTGACCGCGTGAGAACGACGAAAGAAAATTGCGCTTGATGTACCATACGGCGCGTTGTAGGTATTTCGTGTATATTTTTTTTGGATTAAGCGAACACGCTGTAGGTTTGAAAATGTAGTTGCCCTCCACACCAGTTGACAATAGCATAAATTTGAGTAAAAAATTAAATGGTAAACAAGCAGCTTAATTCCTGTGGAGAGAAGGTGTCCAATACGACCAACTAGGCCAGTCATTTGAGCTATTTTTGTTAGTCAGCGGTTAACGTGATTTTCCCTCAACATGTCGGAGGAAGGCACAACACCGAGACACTTTAAATGTAATAGCTCCTCCATACGGCGTGGATATAAGATTATGTTCCGGTCTGTAGGAATGGGCTTGTTTTTGATTGGAATATAACTGCCTTGGTTTTTGCTTCATTTACCTTCAATGAATTAGATATTAATCATTTTTCCAGTGTTTTCATTGTATCATTGCAGTTACTCAAGAGCATATGAATGCTATTGCCCGAAAGGAATATAGTATGATCCACATATGTAATAAATTTGGCTCTAGGGCTAATATTTACAAGATAATTAAGATACACGTTCAAAACTAGTCGCCCTAATATGCTACCCTGTGGCACACCAGAAAGCACAGGTTGAGCCTTCGAGCGGATATTATTTATCTGCACGACTGTTTTTCGATTAGATAAATATGATTTTAAAAGCAGCAAGACCCGTCCCCGAATACCATAGTAGTTCAGTTTTTCAACCAAGCTTCTATAACTGACCAAGCCTTTGAAAAATTCACAAACACCCACCGACAATAGCTATGTTTACCAACTGTGAAAGAATATATTATTTTTGTTTAAGTAAGGCCGGTTCGCTTGCTTTGCCTTTACAAAAACCGAGCTGCTGTTTAATAAATCTTGAGAGTCTCGCGTGCAAAAGGTTTTCAAAAGCCTTTGAATATTTTGGCAGGATGGAAACTGGTCAAAAATTTCCAAGATCATTTCTATCTTTCTTTTTGTAAAATACTGTAATTCTAGCTACTTGAATTTGTGCCGGGAAAACGGTTGTCGCCAAACAAAAGTTAAATATATCGGTGAGAATAGGTGCGATAATATCAACCATACATGGTCTTCACAGACCGCATATGGAGGCTGTCAATATCTGATGTTTCTGTATTCCTTTCCTGAAGCGATAGTGTTTGATTACTTTGCCTTGGAGAAGGGAGGGGTATCGATCGGGCCATAAAACAAAGGGTATCGTCAAGACAGTCTTGCATAAGAAACGTTTAGTGCAACGCTACAGTGATTATGCTGGTATTCTGCAGCATAGCAGAAAAGTCTGTTGAAACCCGTATTTGGTTTTCTGAACATTGGAGGAAGGAGCAATTGTGCACTGACTATCTTTCAACTTCTCCCGAAAGGATTATGGGAGCGTTTGCAGGGTGAACTTTTTTCCTTGGGCCTGATCAGTCAAACGTATTCTCGTTTGAAAATACACATATTGAAAATAATGTAATCGCAACACAAACGTTGGTCGTCAAGATGACGGTCCATTGGCCACTGGTCAGACACCACACGCACGCCATAGTCACGACGGAGAATCTAACATAAATGCAGGGCGTTGCCTATTGTGTTCACACTTCCTGTCTTGTGACTGGTTCTTTGACGTTCTTATTAGATTATGCCGGAACCTGATTGGTTACGGAGGGATATAGTAGGTAGCCCGGGTAACGCCTCGCCCTGCGTTTCGTAAGCTGTTAGGGACTATACGGAGCGCTAGTTCGTCTGCTTTTTGCGCAGGGGTTGTGGTGACGTCAGAACGCCGAGCTCTGATTGGCTATGATCGGAATGATAGTGGGTAGACCTGAAGGTAGCTAGCATTAAAGTCTACCCACTATCCTTCCAATCAGCAATTTGACGTTCTCACGTCATCGGAACCTCTGCGCAAGAAGCAAACGGACTCGCGCTCCGCACAGATATTATATTGGCCCCTTGCCTATGCGCCGAGTAGATTCGGAAGGGATTGTGAGATCTACAAACAATCGGTAGACGAAGGCGACTGAGCTGTTCAAATCACGTGGCGTCTTGTGTCTGACGGTATGTTTTGTGGTACAACCGGTCAAAGCTGGATTGCCTGAGTAGCTGTTTCATTATTTTCAGCTCAACTCTAACTCGGTATTCGCTCCATTTTGTTTTCTAGCGTGACGCCGCACCAGGCACATCATGGAGACTCATTGGCGAGGCGGAAGGAGAGGCCAAGGCGGAAGGCCTCCACGCGGAGGAGGCTTTAGGCGAGGCACAAGCAGAGGAGGACCCTCTCAAGTCGGATCTTGCAATGACCGTTCAAAGGGGACGGCTTCTAAGTGGAAACGTCGCGACAATCCTGGATTTCGGGACTTTCGGGAGGCTTGCGGACAGGCGGAGGGTACTTCCTCCGGAGAAAATTGGGATGCTCCTGCTGTTGAAAGGCCACTGCTTTCAGGCCACGATGATCTTGAGGAGGAACCTGGTACTGAAAGGCGAACCGAAGTTTCTCACTCTAACACTGAGTCGCTCCCGGTGCGTTTTACCTTTCCCTCGTTCGAAGAGCTGACAACAGGCTCAAGGAGTAATGCCACCGCTTACAGCAACGTCTTTGACTTAGCGGAGTGCGCCCTGGTAAACCACACACATGACTGTTTTCTGAAGGCATATAAGTTGAATGTAAAGGCCAGCCTCGGGGACCTCACGGTTGTACCGAAAAGGGGCCTGGGACGGAAAATCTCAGTGACAATCGGCGACTATCTCCAGCAAGGGCCAATCGGGCATACTGTTGCTTTAGTGGACACAAAGCAACAATGTGTTCATTATGGAGAGATTGAGCAAGTGGGGAAGGAGCAAGTGGTTCTGTTTCACAACTGCGTGGAAATAATAAACATACCTACTACCTACGCTTATACGATGGTGGACACCAACCTGAAGGCCAGCTTTTGTTTGGAGCTTTCATCTGTCCTTGCATCAAGAAGGGAATCCTTGTTGTTGCGTAAACTTTGGCTTGGTGCACGTGACCCCGTCGGTGGAAAGAGATCGAGTTCAATCCCTGGTCTTCAGTGTATCGAAACACCGGCTGTATTTGATAGGAGCCAGTCTGAAGCTTTCCGTGCTGGAGTTTCTGAAGAAGTTGCTCTTATCCATGCGCCATCTGGTTGTGGAAGCAAGACTCTTTTGAAGGCCATGGTGGATTACTTGTGCTTGAACGAGCAATCCCTAAACAAGCAGCCTCTGCTGCTCATTGTAAAAAACCCTCTAGAACTTCAAGTGAAGCTAGGATGGACCTCTGACGATGTCTTCAACATGAACGGCGAGCCAATGTACCAGGTGAAAAAGGCTGCGCAAGAATCCTTCGAAGCTGTCATGGCATTAGGGGAAGTCAAAGCCACCTCTGCCAAGGTGCGTGATTTGCTACTGCAGATGTATGACGCTGAGACGACTATTTTACACCAGTCTTTATTCGAAGGAATCACACGAGCGTTCTCTTTGAAAAGAAATGAAGAAAAAAATCTTGTCCAGGTTTGGCTTTTTGATAACGTAAGATATGAAGAAATGAGAAGTAGCGTAACGCAAGCCGAGTTTGGACGGTTTCAGGAGCACTGCAAACGGCGTCCAGCAAACAAAGGCGACGCAGCCGCTGAGCCCATAAACGAAAACGTCTGCTTTACTTTCAACAGGAGCTCAGAAGAATGGTCTGATCCGGATGATCAGACGTTTATTCCCCGTGACAGAAACTCCTTGATGAGTGCATACGTCTGGAAGACTTTAGTTGCTACCGATCCCAATGCGGACCTGATGTCTGTCAGAAACATCCGCGAACTTGGGTTGACCGACCGTTGGAGACTCTACAAGCACTGGGTTGCACTTTTCCTCAAAATGAAGGAAAACGAGCTCAGAAAAACGCTCGAACACCTCGCGACTTCCACTGAGCGGTATAAGCAAGTTTGGATGGAAGGCAGGACATGCTTGAAGCTAAGTCAACCAGTGATAATGGCCTCACCAGTCACTGCAGTCACTCATCGCTCTCTTCTTGAAGTCCTAAGGCCTCGCGTGACAATCGTGTGCGATGCTACTTCAATTGAAGACTTCTACATACCTGCTCTAATTCCACAAAGCATCGAGAAGGCGATCTTCATCGGCGACGGCCTAAACCCGTACCAAGCTTCGTATTCTTGCTGGAGACGCTTGCTAGAATCTGAAAACTTTCTTGTGCACGAGCTGGTGTGTCAGTACTTTCAGTCTCAAGACGTGTGCACCCTTCTTTCGCCGTTCTTGAAATGCATCCCAATATCCATAGAAGGACCACAACGGATGAATGGAATCAGAGAGACTGTACAGTTCTTCAACATTCCCGACATCAACGAGGCTGCTTTTATGATCTCTCGCCTATGCGTGCATCTTCAGGCGTATAATTACGAATCCAGTGATATAGCCGTGCTGGTGCTGTCGCCTCGGCAAGGTGCTGTGAAAACGTTGAAGCTGGCCCTCTTAAAACAAAAATGCAGATACAGCGTCTACTCAGCGATATCTTTCTATCCGAGGCGCTGCAAAATTGCGGTCGTCTACGTGGGTCCAGGGTCGCTTGGAACTCAGTTTGCAGCTGCTCTGAACAGGACTAGTTTCGCTGTGTACGGCTTCGGAGACTTTTCCAAGACTGACGAAAGCTGTCAAAACATCCTCAATACGGCAAAAGCGAGAAACGAGGATCTGCTTAACGGGAGCTTGAGCCTGACGTGCATCTGCCACCCTGGAAAAGTGATTTTTGTCGCGTCGCGTCATGACTTTGAGACAAAGATAAATAGCCACGGTTTGTGCATAGGTCCTTGCAGCGATGTTCTGAGTTGTGGACACGCACGTGAAGTCGTGCATCATGAAGGGCGCCAGTTAGTCGCTTCTTGTCAGCAGCTGTGCCGAAGGACAGTTTGTAAGCGCAACCACGTGTGCCCGAACATTTGTTCTGTCCCTTGCACCCGGCTGTGCACTAAGCTTTCTACGGTGAAACTGCCGTCGTGCGGTCATGATGTAACTTTGCCTTGTCATCAACTCGACGCTGTTCTAAACCCACAAGAGTGCCAGTTGGACGTGAACAGTTTCCCCTCATCAAGGAAGCAGCCGCATGAACCCTATGAGTGCAATCAAGAAGTAACCAAAAGACGTCCTTGCGGTCATTCGATTAAGACAAGGTGCTGCATATCACTGTTTCCCCGCTGCGAGGAATTTCGCGATGATTCACTTCCAAGATGCGGTCATCTGGCTAAGCTAGCATGCTACGTGTGGGATGATCCAGCCAGTTTGATCGGCCATGAGTGCACTCAGATGGTCACGGTGAAAGCATCATGCGGACATCATTTTTCTGTTAAGTGTCACGTGCTTGTTGAAGGGCGCCCTTGTGTGCCAGATGGACACAGATGCACTTACGATGTAACTAAGAAAGCTCCTTGTGGCCATCTGGTTAAAGCAAAGTGCTTCGAGTCAGCGTCCAGCCCGTGCAAAAAATGCGGAGAAGGCTGCCGTGAACCCTACAATCAACACGGCTTGCATGTTAGCGACAGAAGCGGTCTTGATGCGAGTCCTACAAAAATGCAGAGACCTAGCCAAGAGGCTACCACGAAGATGGTGTCTCGTGGTGGTCTGGTCTCTGGCGGGGGAAGCACGTCTGATGAACTCGTAAAGGTTATAACTCGCCCGTGTGGCCACCAAATTGGTATCACTGGATCGTTTAGTGGCGGCGACCCAACATTACTGCCGTGCGACGAGATGGTTGTGGAGCTGCGGCCGTGCGGGCACCAGGCAAGGCGACGTTGTCATGAAACTTTGGAGCGTGATTGTACTTTGGCCACATCGAAGTTCTTGACTTGCGGACATATTGTTACGGGCCCATGTTCGTATATGAGCCGTGGGACTCATGCCTGCCGTACATGCAAGGACCGTTGCTGCATGATGTGATATGACCGAACGCTGCGCGGAATTCTGTGTACTGAATATTTGGGCGTTGCATTGTACACGTTGAAACGAGTGAACGACATTGTCCTTGAAAAAGAAAAGTAAAAGAAAAAGAAAGCGACACTACTTGACTGCGCATTTGTCTTCAGGAACCGTAGTTGGGGTTTAATATCGCATATATTTGTGCGGCTGAAATATAACGCGAAAAGTTCCGAGGACACCTAAGCACGTCTCATGAGTCGTGAATGCGAAAGCATGAATGTTCAATAGACCATTTGCAGAAACCCCAAAAGCCCGCGCGCGCCGCGCGACGAATAATGGAAGAACTTGGTACGCCCCCTCCTATCGTCTTTCCTCCCGCTACTACGTGGCATACGCGAGCAGGCTCAAGTTACCATAGCAACAACGTTCGAGCACCTCAGAGCCGAGAAGCCGAGTCGGAACGTCGGATAGCGATGAGCGCACGGGGAAGAGGGTTTGCTTCTTTTTCCACCCCTCTCTTTTGTACCGCACCGCCTCTGTCGTCTGCTGTGCCAACGCTTTGTCGAACCTAGTCAAACACTGCCACGATCGCGGTGCAAAATAAGTGGATTCTGTCACACTGCAAGACGTGAAGTTAAGTTACGAGCAATAACGCATTCAAATCACCTTTCGCGATGCGTTTACGCTGCCACAGATACGGTATGCCGCCAACGACGTACGACGTTCCGACGGATAGGTGAGATGGTGGATGGCTGCGGCGGCTGCTGGCGGTAGATGCCGCGACGCGCGCGCAGTCGCGGAGGCGCAACGAGAAAGCGCGTGATCTGTACCGAGGGTTCCCGAAATTCCCTGCCGTCTTGGCGCTGTACGTTTTGCAACAGGTCTGTTGAACGCCGCTGAGTGCTGGCGTGGACGGCCGCGTTTCGCTACTGCCGAGGTTGCGGCCGCCGATGTTCCTCGGCGCCGAGAGGAGCAGAAGGGGCCGCAGCGCCAGCAGGGAGTGCGGCGTTGCGCCTAGCAGCAGACTTGTGCTCGTTACTTAAAACATTTAATGAATTACAATTACAAATTACTGAGCCTCAAATGTAATAGATTACTTTTACAAATTACTTCCCTGGAAAGTAACGGATTACTTGTTACGTTACAAATTACTTTCACGTTACTTTTTCCGTACACTTATCCAGAAAACAATAGAAACAATTTTGAAAATTTTCTAAAATGCTCTGCAACACTACTTTTTATTTCTCATACGGCCGTATTCTGGTAGTCCTTGTAAAAATGAAATATTGTATTTAAGACAAAGAGTGTATAGGTGCACTCTGTTCGCCTGTAAGCTGACAAGGCACCGAAAGCTGCAACCAAACCCGCCATCCCGCTAGCTTACGGCCTTCGGGAATGATCCCTGCAATTGTGCAGACAAAGCTAGTGGTGCGCATGCTCAGTAGCAGCGTCCACCTCCACTAGAGGATTTGGAACTAAAAAATCGATATACGAAAGCTCCGTTTTGACTCGGGTGTTTCGCCTGTTATTCCCAAGAAAAGGAAAACTTAATTCTATCGTTACAATGATAGCCAATGCAGAATGCAGGTGTCCCTGCTTACTTTGATGTATTTACGTAAATCAGAGTTTTTTGTTGCTGCAGATGGCAATGTGTGTTATTTTTGGCTAGCAAAGTATGCACTGTAACTCTAGGTTCCCGTTCTCCTTAATGCCCTGAATTTTGAGCATCTCAGCAAGAGATGGCCATGGAGACGACGGACCCTTCGTGACCGAAAATTCGACCAGTCAGAGAAAAAGTGGCGGTTACGGGTTACCGATAGTTCATCGTTAACCTGTCATTCACCCATGATTTGCGTCATTGTCATTCACCCATGATTTGCACCTAGCGCTTTACCGAAGGTCCCAGGCAGACTGCATTTTTTTTTTTACTTTTCCAAAACATTCGATAAAGTTTCACACAAGCTGGTGCTATTAAAACTTAAGTCTTAACATTGACGCAAATGTTCTGTCCTGGACGATGGAACTAACTATGAAACATCACCACTCGCCTCCGTCAATCCCATGGAGTGCCGCAAAGTTCTGTATTAGGTTCGCTATTGTTCCTTATCCTTATTAACGATTTGCCGAATTCGATTTCTTCTTCAATTAGTTTATTCGCTGATGATTGTGTTATTTACAGAGAAGTTACTAACGCCTCGGATGTTCTGAATGTACAAGCTTACATTAACCATGTTTCAAAGTGGTGTGAATTATGGGAGATGAAACTTAACACGACTAAATGCAAGGCCGTGAGAGTATCGCGTAAATGTAATTTTCCTTCTTATTTTCTTGAAGACGTCCCCTTACATTCTGTCTCTTCTTATAAATACTTAGGCGTGTATACAACTTCAGATATTTCCTGGCAAATGCATGTTGAGTATGTTATTAATAACGCTAATCGAATCGAAAACGAAACGTTTCACTTGCCCCTTCATCTTTGAACTGTACAAAACGCTTGTACGCTTCAAATTACAATATGCCTCTTCTATCTGGGACCCCGGTCATTCCAAACTAACTGACGCCCTAGAATCAGTTCAGAATCGCTCTTCAATGAAAACTAGCCTATTGTTGTCTAACCTCAATTCACGTCGTAAAATAGCTCGCTTCTGTCTCTTTCATACGATATACCATGCTAACTCATTACTTCACAACCGACTGCTGAATCAACCTTGTTATATTTCACCTCGCATTGATCATGTGTATAAAGTAGACATTCTAAAATGCAACACTAATGCATTCCAAGAGTCTTCATTCCGAAAACTTCAGTGGATTGGAACCACCTTCCCGCATCTATCGCAACAATTGTTCCTGACCATTTATTTAGGACTGCCATAAATAATCTATACTGCTCAGATTGAGCTGCGAAGTGTACTACTGCCACTAACCCCCACTCCGCTCTGTAATGTCGCCCATTTGTCGCCGACGCTACGTGGAACCTTTCTTTCAATGTTTGTAGGCTCAATGTGGCCTCATTAAACTTTTATTGTTCGTTCTAATTCATTTGCTCTTGTTATTGGTGATAAAATGGCACCTGACATACAGTGGATGTACATACACGCGTAAATAATCAAGTGCGTGAGATCAGTAACGTTGCCAGGAATCATTTATTTATTTTATTTATTTATTATTATTTTTTTTTTGGGGAGGGGGGGGCTGAGTTTACTGGGATGTCCATTACTTGGAATGCAGAGAGGGGGAGGGGCTCAAAATGCATGTGTGTATTATAGGGTCGGCTGGATTCCTGTGGGGGGCGGGGGGGTGGGGGGGGGGGGGGGGGCTAAAGCCCCATAAGCAAGCCCCCTCCTGGCGAGGCCCCTGCCTGAAATACATAAGCTGACAACCCATCCTTAGACACGTCCTGTACGGAATCAACCACTAATAATGCCATACGTTTGATGCCCTATTGTCACTCCCAACACAGTTATATCGCAGTCCGAGTAAACCATATAACTATAGAAACGAATGCGATGAACTTTACGAAACCGTTTGGAAGTTCCGGTGTTTTCTTCAGACGCAGTATTGCCATGAAATGGTAACTAAGAATGTTGTAACCGTAAGGCACTCGCTATCTCATCTTTTTTTATCTTTGAAGTTACTGTTTTTCTTTTCACTTGGCACTCACTAAGCTTTGGTGGGAATTTGCACACGGCGTAAATGATGAAGGTGAGTACGCCACGGTGGAGACAGATAAGTGAACTAGAAACGCCTGTTGCAAATTTCTGGCCAAGGTATATTCTCCCGCTAGACTTAGCGTGTCGATTTCCCCCCTTAATTTAGCGGGGAAACTGGATTGGCGTCTAGGCCACAAGACGTGAATTTTCCCGCTAAGTTTAGCGGCGAAACTGAGCTGACGTATTCTTTACGCGCCGTCAATTTCCACAGGGTGTAGAGGTCATGTAACGTCAGGTGACATCACGTGACGCCACTTTTGCTCCAAATTTCGCGGGAAACTGAATTGGTGCCTAGTTCACCTGACATCCACCACGTGACATCGATTTTCCCGCTAAATTTAGCTCAGAAACTGAAATCCCGTGTAGGTCAATTGTTGTATGAATTTCCCCGCCCTTTCTGAGTCAGTTTGCCGACCGGTGTTGTCTGCTTAAGTTGTCGCGGCATGCTGAAAACTTTTTCAACCAGGGCTTCAAAATCATTTCTCGATTCTTGCAATGTCTGATTTAAAGGGAAGGACTGCGGCCGTGAAATTCTCTTTTCTTTTAGGGAAAACGGCGGCGGAAACTCTCGCAATGCTTCAGACAGCCTAAAAAAAAAAAAAATGTGCTATGGAGAAATATTAGGTGTACGAGTGGTTTTCACGCTTCGAGGCCGGTGAATTAATGAGCTACGACCAATCTCGTCCAGGGCGGCCCTCAACCTTCTCAACTGGTGAAAACATCCAGAAAATTCGGGCATTGTTCAGTCGAAGTTCGTTCCTCCCGTTGAAACTGTTAATCGGGTGTTTTACCTGAGAGTTTTGCGACGCTCGCATAGCTCAGTGAGGCAGAAACGCCCCGACGTATGGGAAAGGGGAGAGTTGTGGTTCCATCAGGACAATGCCCCAGCACACACTGCCCTGTCAGTGCAACGATTTTTCAACAAAAATGGAATGACACCGTTTCTCCACCCCCGCTATCTACTGGACCTCGCCCCGCGTGACTTTTTCCTGTTCGCCCATATTAAAAAAAAACCTGATCGAAAAATGTGTCGTGGACGTGGAAGGTCATTCAAACCAGACATTGCAAAAAAACAGGTAATGATATTGAAGCACTTAGGAGAAAAGTTCACAATGTGGCGCTGGAACTTTAGCGGAAGACGCCAATCGACAAACTTAGGAGGATGGGTTGCCGTTAAGTGATGCTAGCGTCGGAAGCTGTTACATACGAACGGCCCACCCTCCAGAAAATCATTCCGGTTATATTTAAGTCCCCCCTCGTACTCTACACCAAGTATCCTATATGATTTCCAGTGTATTATAAAAAGCTATCTCCGCGAGCACTCTGCAGTGCTAACCGCCGTCTCATGCGTCCATTGACCCGAGCACATGCGTTCTTTTTCTTCAACAATTCGTGTGGAGCAAACACGCCCGGGAATGTCCCGCATCGCCACAT